GTTTTAAATTAAAAACAAAAAAAAAAAGCCTCAGAATTCAGTCCTTCATTAGAACTTGTTGGTTTACATACTGCCTCTTCCTCTAGTATTTTCTGGTAAAACAGAATTTCAATCACAATTTCAGTCAACAATAATTATAATATTAATGAGGTTTTAGAACACTAGATTCAGATGAGTTTTTCTTTCTAATTAATCATTTGAGGTGCTGTATCACTTTTCAGAAACTCCTTGATAGTCCTTTGATGTTAGTACAACTTGTGGCAACAAAAAGAACCCTTAAGGTTTCCAATGGTAGCTTTTTTTTAACAAAACACAGCATGAGTGAAACTGTGTATGAGTTACATGGCTTCAGATCAACCAGTAAACCCCTCCTGAATCTCAATGCCTCCAGCCTTTAGTTCAGTTTAACTTGTCTACTACAAAGAATAAAAAATTAATCTCTTTATTCTTACATAATAGAAGTATTTGATTTATACAGGACACTAAGTTTTAGAGACAACTCATCTCAAGGGCTCAGAAGACTTGGTGTTTAGGTTATTTAATATTAATTTTAACTCTTCTATCAACTTAAACCCAGACTTCCACTCCAGCTTGCAGTTTGCCTTAGCACATTATTTTGAAAACAGCAGAAGTTCAGAAGACAATTTCTAAAATGATCAGATGTCCTTGACCTGGTGGCAGCAAGGTCTACCAGCAGCACAGGGAACATGGCAAGAAGCAGAAGCAGCAGCAGGTACCCAATCTGAAAACTGCTATACATCTGACAGGGCTGTACATGCTCAGCACCGCTTCACAGCTCTGAAGCCAGTCCAACACAGAGATGCAGTTAACTGAGCTGCTTCAGTAGCCTCATCAAACCCATGTTTCAGTAAATAAATACTAATATTAACACTACCCAAACCCCTCCCGCCTCACCCTAGTAAAGAAGGTTAATCAGCCAGCTCTAAATGTTGAAGGATTAATATAACACAGGTATTAGCTCTCTGCTCTACACTTTGCATCCCACTGAACCGGCAGTGGAGTAGCTGGCAATACACATGTCCATAAAGGAGTTTTCTGAGGAAAGGGAGCCACCGTTTCCAGAGTCCTGCATAAGCCAAGTGAAAACTAAGCATTAAAATAGGCTTCTGTTTTTATCGGATCAGGAAAGATCAATACAAGAAAAGCCCAATGCACTGATTACTACTTCTTGTATACCATTCTGAAGAATTCCCAGGATCACAGGTCTAGGGTTTTCAAGTCAACTGATATTTTACATAATTGGCCTTTCCAGAAATGTCTGATGGAACAGAAGTGTTGGGGTTCAACCCCACTTGTGGTTATTTTGCAACTGCTCTTCTATCACTCTCAAGATCTATCTCTAGGTAAGGTTACACATATATCTTTTTTCTCTTAAGTTCAAGGCTAGTAGGACAAAACAGGGCTACTGATGAGTGGGCATGGACCTTAGTCTTCTCCCATCATCTGGAGATGCTCCTATCTTCTAGTAATAAGCAAAGGTTCTGAAGCGCAGAGTCCAACTGGGTTACTCAGCCTCAGCTACACCTAACATCAGAAGGGAAGATAAGCCAGGTTTATCTCTTAACCTGAAGAGGCAGCGTAAGGTGGTACTCTCTTTAGTAAAAGAATGTTAATACTGAAGTATTTTTTAATATAGATTATTAGTCTTTATGACTGTTTGGAATATTTTGCAAACCTGTGTGAAGCCACAGACAGGGCTTCCAGTTTAGCTGTACTGGTTGAAAATGTTACCAACCCCAGCTCCTCATTGCCTTTCAGGGGCAGGTTATTGCCAAGCACTGCCAAGGGATGATGCTTACACAGAGTCACAGAGTGGTAGGGGTTGGAGATCACCAAGTCCAACCCCCCTGCCAGAGCAGGATCACCTAGAGTAAATCACACAGGAACAAGTCCAGGCGGCTTTTGAAAGTCTCCAGGGAAGGTTGTACAGCAGCTGCAGGAAAATTCACTCAGATTTGCTCCAACTGTCTTCCTTGATGTGTTAAACAAACAGAATGGCTAACAGGATGGATTAGACTTTATCTAGAGCAACCTATGTCCAGATGACCGCATCTGCTGGCAGTGATACATGATTAGCAAGAAGGTTCTGAGAACACCTGGGCATGTATTCTTTTTTCCTGCTGGATTTTTGTTAAGTGATGTCTTTACTTCACTTGACTTTATAAAACCAAGTGATACAAATGCTCCCTTTCACAATTTACAATGCAAGTTTATCATCCAAGCAATCTTTTTTTTTTTTTTTTTTTTTGAGAAAGCTGCTTCAACAGCCTAAACCTGACTCAATAGTAGCTTATAATGGCTTTGGCTGGGGCCAATGACCTTACATAAAAGATGAAATGAAACTTGAGACTAGCATCAAAATCAGACAAGAATTACTTCAACAGACACTGAACGAACAGATGCGACACCCTGCTGAGCTGAGGTTTCCCATGTTTCTGGGCTGTGGTTCTCTTATAAGACAGCCTCCACCACGACACATTCAGTTCACTTCAAATTACACATAACACATGTAAAGATTATGGTAAAAATCTTTACAGCTAAAAAGTTGACCCAAAACACTAATGACCTGTTTACAACTGACCGCTTTGCATTACTGCTTGAACTTGAAAGTTATTGCATGCATTATATACCAGAGAGCAGACAATTCAGAGTCATAAATATGTAGGTGATCTGCATAATGCTATCAACCTGCACATCAGTCTCAGTTTCAATTGCACAGCACAAAACCCTAGATCAACTGGTGATAGATAGCAAGTCCTTATTAACATCAACTTTTCCAAAAAGTAAATGCTTTAATCCCACTATACAATTAATCACCGAGGCTTTCATCTGCTTCCTATGAACAAGCTCTCAAAATTATTTCAGAACTGCTTAGCATTTTAAATTATCATCTTTTCTGCACACAGGCATTTATGCTGTAGACAGACGTTGTACCTCATCATGAAAAAAAAAAAGCAGAAGCATGGTTAAATACATTTCAAGGTTGCCAAGATAAAAGAGCCAAGGGACTGCGACCTGACATGGATAATTATACCAATTTCAAAACGTATTTGTTAATTCAGGAAAAAAGTGATGGTAAAACGTTAGAATTTTTGGGGTGACCTGGACCCTCAAGTATGTGGACTTCAGATAAATAACAAACCTCATTATTTTCCTCCCAAGTGCTCAAGAAAAAACCCACAGTATTAGCACAGAGGGCAAACCAATATAGTTAGTGAATAAGATACTTAATGGTGTTATTTGCTATGAAACAGCAAATACCTGTCTTATGATCAACAAAATCGCTTTGGTTATATTTTTATCCCATAGAACTATCAGTTAATGCACAAATAATAGGATTGCTAAGACCGTAGTAAAAATAAAACACAATAGATTGCCATGAGTTTATTTCTTTTCTCCGTATTCAGGATGAGTAAGTATAACAACTTTAAATACCACAGAAAATCTAGTTATAAAAGCAAAGGCTAGATGAACTAACTAGACATATAGCTCTTACTCATCCCTTCCCTGTGAAACATCAGAAGTCTTAGTGCCAATATTTATTTAGAGAGACCATAAAAACTTCTCTGGCACATTCACTTACGGTTTCTTTAAAGTTTCAGCCTTGGGCTAAGAATGGGTATGTTCACCTGATTCTAAGTAACTGAGATAGCACATGGTAAGGAACTGGAATTTATTGCCTTACAGGTCAGGTGCATTAATAAATCATTCAAGACTCAGTCTCCTGGAATATGAAATAAAATGGGTTTCAGCTAAGCAGCTGGGAAGGTTTTCAGGCACATCTGGTTTATTTCACATTTGTAGTGGACTAAGAACACGAATGCATTAGGTTACCATATAGTGACTGAAGGATTGTAACCTCTTAGGTGTTAACTTGACTGTTTAAGGAGTTATCCTACTGACTGAGTGCAACAAAGCTTCTCAAAAGGGAAGGTAGAAAAAATGAACAACTAAACCAAAGAAAAAGAACATGGGCAGAAAAAGACAGAAAGAAATGGGTGAGAAAAAGAAAAAAGACAGCAATGCAGCATACTGTGTCATGACATCACCACCACAGTTCATACTGCAACAGCTTTTGTCAGTGAAGCTAACCTAGCCACGACCTTTCCCCCCTACCTAGAGGTAAAGAGTGTACTAGCATCAGGAGCTCTTGTACCTCCTAACACCACCAACACAATGCCTCTGCTGTAGGTAGGAAAGAATTTCTTGCAGCAAAAGATGCCTTTTACACACTACACACATAACAACACAGTGAGTTTTGCCAGCAGGTACTATTGTTAGGGATGAGTCAAGACCTCAACCAGTGCCTATAGGCCATCAAAACCTTGTACTATAATTCTAGTTAACAGGACATAATTCTCTCAGCAAAAACATGGAAAGACTGCAGAGCTAACTCTTGGATCATGGTAGTTTAGTAATATACTTAAAAAACATGAACAGAAAAATAACCAAAGAGTAAATGTTTCCTGTTTACTCTGTCATTGTCCCTCTGTCACCTATTCCATTCTCCCATGCTACCGCTCTCCCTATGTCAACTCTCCTCTAGGACAGGTTGGGATGTCCACACTGTGGTACCATATTTCAGAAGGTGTTCAATAAAAGCACCTTTAGAAACACTTTGGGTTCAAACAGGCTCTCATTTGGGAATATGACAACAGGAATTTCCTTTTTAGCATTTTTCCAAGCCAACAAGCAAATCCTCATTCCACCAACCAAGCCAGACAAAAACATCCAAGCCACAATAAAATTAGTGGCCTCATATTTCAAAAGGCTCAGAAGTTATTCCTTTACACATATCTGTAACATTTTGCAGCCTGAACAGCAAGCTGAGGAATCCTCCTAAGAACAAAATACAGAGTAACTGAATCTATCAATTGTGACAAAAAATTCTGTTCAACAAATCTTATCTCGGCACACCCTGGTGAAATGAAGTTACAGATTGCTAATGTTTATTTCAGCATGCTCACCATGGCAACTGAAATCACGGCATATTTAGGTTTACAAGATTTTGTATTTTTTTCCAGCTTGGATCTGTTTTCTTGTGAACAACAATTAAAAAAACCTTGTGTGTACACATCACTCAATTGAAACAATAAAATTACAGTTGCATAGCACATACCTATGATGGCCGATATGTCTTGCTCTTTTAATGTGCCCAACTCCTTTACATCCTGCTGTGGGACACCCTCCATGCTCTAAAGCTTCCACCAATTCCAAGGGACCTGCATGTCAGGGGAAGTTACACATGAGATTAAAAAAGGTACCTAATCTTTGAAAGTTATATAAATATGCAGGAATACCACAGTATCATAGTCAACATGAAGAAGAAATAAGTAAACAAAATCTAATTTTAAAGTACTTTAAAAATGCATTCTGCAAAAGCATGATGGAGATTCAAACAACCTAATCCACTGGAGAAATTATTTTATTCTATGTGATCAAATCTCCACAGGAGAGCTACATCTATATAAAGAATGCAAATCCTGGAGGAACTGTATGACTTTGAATTCCTCTCCTATTAACTCCATGTAGTTGGAAGCCGGTTGTTTTGCAATGGCACGGGCAAAGTAAGTTACCCTGATGTTTCTGAAGACGGGGATCTATTCCTAGTGAGCACTGACCTCTTCCATTTTTAGCTCAAGTTTTCCACTGAACAAGACATGAAAACAAAGGCTGAAAATGCTACTAAAAGGAACAAGTCATCAGGAGATTTTTGACATTTCACTTATCTGAATTTACGTGTCTATTTGATTTTCATCAACCTGTAACAATGACGGCTGCAGAGACATTAAAGCATTTAGCTGTCAAAACTAGCTGTGACACTCAAGGAAACATAGTATATAACCCATAGTTTCATAGCAAGTCAGCAACAGATTTACTCCAGTACAAGAAACTGAGAACACCTGCCACACATCTGCGAACACGCACTGCCTCTCCGGTACTGGTCTTACGTGAGAAGTACATGAACTTGTTTCTCCCCCTAGAGATAACAATACTGACATTAAAAGGTCTATTTAAATTAATTTTCCTAGGTGAAAGATAGATTCTTGCTCACAGATGGATAATGAAAGACAAAATTATTATGTATAATTAGGACAGTCCAAAAGCATTTTTTAACAAACGTTCCGACTACGCTAATGTTACAATAACTACACTGAAGCCCAAAGACTTCTATAGGCTATAAAATGGTGTAATGGAACAGAGAAGAGAGAATTGTATCTTTTCTACCTTTATGCAAAATTGATGCCTAGAACATAACAAGTTAGTGGACTCAGAGGAAGAATTAACTTAATAGGGACGCTTTTCTAAAGTCCCGCCTCACTGATGCTCTGGTTTTGCAAAAAACAGTTCCCTACAAATGTTCTCTCCTCCCTTAAAAAATTCAAACTCTCTAAAAATGTAATTTAAAAGAGCTGCAACTGGCTGTCCATATTTATGCAAGAAACTGCTGCTTGCTCCAATGTGAAATGATATTAAAACTGACACCAATATATGGCCCTTATTCCCTAACTGCTATCAAAAAGGTCATAATCCATCATGACAACTTCACTACATCTTAAGAGAGAACACTATAAATACATAAATACTGGGAGCATAAAACCATTATGACGACGGCTCTAGACTAATATTGCTAAGATCATCCAGTGTTCACACAGTTTCTAGTGTCAAAAACAGGGATCTGGACTGCATCATTAAAAGGACTGTCTACTGACTGAGCAAAAAATATCGTGTCTTGCAAAATATTTTCTTCCCTCCTTCTAAAACCCTTCGACAAAACTTGAAACACACTTCAACTTCATGGAAACAATATTAATATTTTTATAATATTCTTTATTTTATAACATATTCTACAGTAAGAATACGAAGTCATATTGTTGGAAGAATATATTATTCAGTAATCATCCTATTTTAACAGTATTTGCGGTTAATTATTCTTTTTCTATTTAATGGGTGGTCACTTTCCCTCCTATCACATTGTTCACCTTTAGTTTTGTAGCTTAACTAGTATCAAAAAGCCACTTCTACCGGTCACATCCTAAGAGATGAACAGTGCCTCCTATGCTACCTCCTAGAGGAGATGACGTGTTGCATGTGATGGGCATCTCTATTTTGTTTCTTTTAGTGTCTCCAAGAAAATTAACTTATAGTTTTATATTCCCACCTAGGCTAAGATTCCCTCCCTCCAGTCTTGGGTAACAGAGCTGTCGCAACCTTATTCAGCTCTTCTGCCATATGATAGGGTTTTTATTTATGTGGCCACAGACTACTTTTTCCCACTGGACTGTTCCTTCATTCAATGCACAGGATGCACACCTCAGATTAAGCAGCAGATATGCAGCATCCTATCTCCTCATTATTCACTTTGTGCTTTGGCACTTACTGCACTCTATTCAGACTCGGCTTTGAAGGCAGAATGATTAACTTCCTAACAGGCAGTCATCACTGTACCACCGGTGTGCTCAGAAAACTAATGAATATACTTTGATCACGCTTTTGATAGGAAGGATTTCTTCTTGACATTTTAGAGATGCTGAATGAAGGTACAGAGATTTTCAGGTAACACATTTACACAGTCTGTGTGTGCCTTATCCCAGTTATTTCACATTTAAGTTTTTCAGAGTACTTGGCATTGCTCAGCATTTCTATTTTCCAAGCACAGGTCTTTCTGATCTCAATTACAGCTGTGAACACTCAGCCCTTGTGCAAATCATACCTCAGACTCACAACATAAAACAATCCCAGAGAAGAGCACTCAGTTAAAAACCATCTGTTCAAAGTTTGGCTGAAGTGATTACACTACTATTATCCAGAAACACAGTGGCATAGGTGTGGATATCTTTACCACGAAAGTCTTTTCTCCTACAACCTTAAGTCTTGCTTATGACAAGACTCCCATTTCTTCAACAAGTAAAACAAAATCCCCAGAGAGGGCAAGCCGGTAAATACAGTATTATTATTGGTACCATGCTTCTGTTAGATTTACCTTCCGTGTGGGCACCATTAACCCCTCTGCTCAGCTGAAGAAGTAGTTAGCTGGTTTAGAGAATTTGACAGAGCATTTGAAAGGAGTGCCTTCTCACTGCAGTTGAGACTCCTCTGAGCTAAAAAGCACACTAGCCTTCAAGAGGACACGGACAGAAGATTTTAAAGAGTGATACCCTAACCCCACTGAGTGCCACAGCGGTTTCATCACTGGCTTCAAGAGGGCCAGGATTTTATGCAGCCTATCTTTACCATTACTTCAGGTTACGACTGTGGTTCTTATGCATCCAGAGAAACATTGTATTTCCATGACAGTAATGGTCAATAAAGCTATCTGCTAAAAAGTGATTACTGACTGTTGATTTGGCATTAAATGTCACATTTACATTATTTTGCATAACCTAGTTGCTACTCTTCCTTGGCTAGCACAGTACACGTGCCTTTTAACATCATTATGTTACAATATGATTTCTCTTACTAAGTGGGGGTTGAAGAGGGTGTCCAGTTTTTGTACACCAGCCTGCAGGATGGATATCAGGGCTATCTACATCAGTCCAATAATCATAAATACTATCCCAGCCATCAAAATGGACCTAAAATAAAAAAAAAGGAGAACAATACATTTCAGATCAGACAAATTCTCTATAAAATCCATCTCCCCTAGTAATATCTAAAAATGACATGGACATTAGAGAAGTCACCTGAAGAGAACTATCGATGTTACATAGAAAACACATGTACAGTAGATGCTGGACCCAGACATACTCCCACTGAAGTAAAGAGAGAGGTGTCATTTGATCATTTACTATGTGTTGCATCATCAGGTTCCAATCCTTGAATAAAGCAGGCAAGTTAAGTTCACACATTAATACTTAGTTTAAGCATGAATTTCCGCCTTTTTCTTTTTTTTTTTTTTTTTAATCCAAAATTCAAACGTTTTTACTCTCCTGTTTGAACAGGATTTAGTAACAGCAGAGCAGTAAGTAAAAGCCTAAAAAATGGTGGTTAACCATAAAACAAAAACCCCCAACATACAAGTAACATTTTTAATAAAATCCAACTATACAGGATAAGGAGTTGAAACTGAAGAGATAATGAAGTGTATGCCTTCCCAAAAAAAGTACCAGTATGGGCTCTACATGTGCTTTTTTCAGGTGAAAGCTAATTATCTTCAAATCTTGCTTGACCTGTGTTCTAGTAAATAGCTCAGACCTCTCACGCCCAAGCACGGATGTACCTACACACAGAAACATACAACAGAGCTCTTTCAACATATGCTACAGAGTCAAATTACCACCCTAGAACCTACAAATCCTGTGATTTTTTAGTAAGTCAGACTGGAGAGGGGAGATGTTATTTTGGTTTTTTGCATGACCAACTTAAAAGTTTAGATAGAAAATGCGTAGGAGTGAAGACACTAGTTCTGTCGACTCCCTACCACCAGTTAATTCAGATTCAAAAATGAATTGTCAGCTGCATTTCCTGCTTGAAATACCATGTATGCCTAATAAATCTGGACAAATATCCTTCATATCCATCTAACCGGATTATCTGGAACACACTAGCTCTTCTAACTGTTAAGGGCTTCAGAGAATAAACTGGTGTTGTACAATAAAAGAAAAATAATTCAAGTATATGACTTCTGGAAAATTGCACTTTCTTAAAAATACATTATCTGAGATTAATCCAATTTGAAGTCCATAATTAATATAAACTCCAGAATTGCAGAAGTCAATGACAAGGCACTAGAGATCAGGGTCCTTTTTTTATCTCCGCCTTATTTCTCTCTCCTCTCCCTGGAAGTTTATAGAGACAGATTCAATTAACCTAGGCCAAATATTTTATGGGCCCTAATACAAATATCACAGCAGCCCTTCGACACTTAGTATTAAATCATCATGATTCTTAATAGAATAGACAACTGGTTTACATCAACTATTCCCAAAGCAATTTTTGAACATATTCAACTCTGCTCTCTAATTACCTACGTCAGCAAATATAACTAAGAGGATAATAGAACAACCCCTTCCAAAGGAATTATACGCGTATTAATCAGTGAACAGGACGAGCAGAAGCTTAGCAGGATGCACCAGTGTGACTCATTTCTTCCTGTGCTTAATTTACAACTATAGGATTTTGGTTTTACAAAGTACTTATTAGTCACTCAAGAAGGACAGTACAGTAAGAAAGAGACACTTACCTTTATTCTATAGTCGTCAGTATCTACAATAGTTGCTACTCTGATAAATACTGGATTTCTCTTGTCAACCACTTCAAGTTTCATGTTTTTCTGAAAGCCATGAGAAGGTTTCTAGAAAAGAACAACAACATTATGTGAAACAAAAGAAAACCTCAAAAATCTTACACAACTACAGAGTATATAAAATCCATAGAAAACTCTCTGCCTTAATTTTCTCAAATCTGCCCTCCCTCTCCAACAGATCCAAGATTATTTATTATTAAACTAGAAAAATGAACTAACTACCTTTGGGTTTCCAGGTTCTCCACTTAAGCCTTCCAGGCAAGTAAGTAGGGTTATTTATTTTAAATCAGTTGGGATTTTCCTGAATTGTCTAGAAAAGATTTCCCAGATATTTTTGTCAACACCTTCAACGCAGTATTGAATGAAGTATTACATACCAGCAGCCTGAAATGTCTGTATAATTGTTTACAGGAAACATACTTGTGTTTTTTAGCATATGTTTTTGCTTCATGATTCAAACTCTCTTTTTCAGTCTCCTCCTGAAAAACCTACCTGATCCACGGTGTAACAGTGAACACTCACTCAGAAAAAACAGGACCAGATACCTGTTTTGTAATACTATTTTAGCAAAAAGGTGTCTTTGCTAGGAGTAACAGATTTTATCTTTACCATCTACAGATACAAAATCTAAAGCAAAAAATTATTTCCATTTTTAGGAACATACGGGCAAGATATGCTACAAATTTTATTCTAGGTTTCTAGGAAAGCAACATATCTGTCCCTCTAACACGCTCCAGAACATCGGTTCCAGAACAGCTGCAGCTTAATAACCCTATTTTCTCACATAATACAATACAGAATACTGTGACTGTCTCAGGAAAACTTCACCCGAACTCCAACACAATCGGCCTTTTATTCCCATTAAATCTGCTTTCTTATTACTTTTCACAACCATCAGTAATAGGGTTACCATCATAATAGTACAGAAAGCAGGGAGGTGATTTTCTCCGGCTGTGAAACCAAAACACAGAGCACAGCTGGCCCCATGCAGCAAAGCTGTCCCTCCCCTCCACCCTCAATGCCAGGTGGCCTTGCCTATGCTACCTTTTGGGACCTACACCATCCCCAGCTGCTCCCTACTAGTACGGAACAGTGTTGCGCCAAGACAGCTAGCACTCTCCCATTTAATGCTGTCAACCCCTTTGGCGTGTCCAGTGCAGTTTCCTGGTGCAGACACAGCTCGATGGACCTCGGTGCCTGCAAGACCCTTGGGCCACAGGTGGGGCATTCCCACCCTGGAGGTGGCTGTTCCTTGAACCCCAAGGTAAGAAATTAAAATATGGATGCTCTGAGAGAAAATGTTGGCTTTCAGCTTGATGTAGTCAAGGTCACAGCCCTCCACTGTTTTGCCGAGACCTATACCTCTCAGATATAATCAAATAACATTCCTAATCCTCGCCCCCATTATTCCGGCTGAAAACATAAGATTGAGACACATTATTAAGCCAGATGCATTTTGGGGTGATAAACTGCAGGTCAGTAATAAACTCTGGTGATCTACTGACCTCAGGAACTGCTGTAAGCACCACATTTCTGCTCTCGTTAATCCAGCTCTTAGCCAAGTGTTATTTGGAATTAGTGACCCTAATCTGAAAAGCTGAGGCAAACCAGCTTCAGCACACTGTGTGACAAGGGGCTGGGAGCTACCGGCCATCTGATGCTGGCTCCTAACAGCAACCCTTCCTGCACTACTGACCAGCCTACTTTCCTCGCTGAAATCCTAAGAGCCCAGGAAAGGTGGGTGTCACTCAAAGAAACCAGCAAGTACAAAGCTATAAGAAAAAGGATGTTGCCCACAAACACCACAGTTAAACTGAGGAGCTGCCCATGTGCCCTAGGCACAAGCTGGCAGAAGAGAAACTCTGCTGGAGGGTATTAAACACAAACTCCCTCTTGACTACTACCAGAGACAATGGACTAGGTGGGTGGCCAGACTGACCTCCTACAGTCATTTGTAAATTCTCACTGTATTTACTGCAACATTTAAAATGTTCAGATAGAAAGACACATGTTCAAAATATGTTATGATGGCTCAGGAGCTATCTCATTACTTCTAATAGCTAGGCAGTAATTTCCCATAGCAAATCACATTCATTACTATTATTTTGTAGCATTTAATCCCATTAGTAACAATTAAAATAATAAAGTAATAGTGATTTATAATAATAATTACCTGATTTCTAAAACTGCAAACTTGCATAAAAATACACCACATGTTAAGCAACTAGTTAACTGGATACCTTTGGAAACATACAAACACCATATATGTATTCTCTTCTTTAATTAATTAATTACATGTGCGTAAAAGCATAAAAACATATAAGCATTTTCTCACCACTTTAAAAGCCCTTGCAGGTGCAGGTAATGAACTGGTTTCTTCCAAATACTTCTCCCAGGAAAAATGCTTCGCATGCGGATAATCTGGCACAGAAGAAATATGAGCAAAATTACACAGCACAGTGCAAAAACCCAAAACTGATGTCTAATTTACAGAATGTCTAATGCATTCATTATACTATTACAATTTATGTTTCAGATTTATAAAATAATTACAAGAAAGGCTAGTCTAAGTTTTCTCTGACATATTCACCATGTAGGTTAACAAAATCCAACAAGTTTCTCCAACGCAACACTGAGTATCTGGCAGAAAAGTTCGCAATTGCTCTGGATACGAGAATATAAATAAGTGGAGAGATTTTTCCAGTCCACATCAATTCAAGAAGTTCATTCAAGTACCCTAAGTCTAATCTTTTATTTTATAAACAGTAATCTACTGGCAAACACAGTCTAAATCGGTAATAGCTTTGCACCACAGTACAGCACCTCTGACTACCTGCTACTCTCTTAGTAAAATTGTTTCAACTAAATTTCTAAAAAAAAAAAAAAAATAGACTGGACATCTACTAGAAGAATAATTTACAAATATCATCAAAGAGGATGTTGACTTTCTCAGAAAGCGTCATGTTTACAAACACTTTGCGCAAGAAATGCAAAGACAGCTTTGCTCTTGAAGAAAAGGCAGTGCCTGTCCTTCGCCTTTAATTTGCACTAGAAGTTTAAACATTATGATTCATAACCTAAAACAAAGCCAATTCTGATTTGTTTTAAAAGGGATTTCACTGAATAATAGGCTGTAATTAACCTCCTGACAGACAGATTGCTTATGACTTTTCAGGATTGCTGGCTATTAGAATTTCTGACAGAGTTAGTTTTAACCAATTAAAATGTTCCATGTTCTCAGACCACAAACGGGAGTTTCTGCAACAGGGCATTTAGATTATCCAGCTATACATAACAGTCCTGAAAATCAGTGGTCATCTTACATTTCGTGCTAACAAGTACACTTTCATTCTTCCATATCGCCTCTCTCATTGTGTTTTCCTCCCTTCCAAAGAGCCCTTACAAGTCTGAATCCTGGATCACATAAGGAAATCTTCTCATCAACTCACTACCTTGCACATTTAGTTCACATGAAGATTGTTTTCTTATGCAAAACTCTCACACACCTGGAATTTGTTTTATCAGCATTTTCACAAATGTGAGTCTTAGAATAAGTGAATACACTCAGCCAAAAACACAAAGTTCTTCAGATTCCAAGGGGTATCCTGTCATGGATGTTTGTCTCTTTACAAAAGCAGAATACATGTGCATACTTAACACCTATTGTGTCTATTGTACTTCTGTTTTCTATATATTATGTCCTGCAAAAAAAATCATAATTTCCCAAATACTAATACTTAATTACAGAAAGAAAAAAAATCAAGAGAGGTAACAATAAGCTTATTCTAAGTTTTAATGCTGCTACCTGATTATAGCCTCTTCACATCTTTCAGATGTATAAGATACAAACCTGGTGGGGTGATGAGAGTTCTTTTATGTTCTTTACACCATCCAACAGGATGAATATGTGGGCTAGCTGCTTCACACCTGGAGGAGGGGGAGGAAAAATGGGATTGATAATGCAGTTCTTCAGGCACCTTATTATGGTTCGAAAACAAGACATACAAAAAAGATGTAACAAATTTAAAAAAAAACCATGCAGTTCAAGTGTAACTTGAAGATGTCAAACATAACTTGAAGATACAAATGCATTTAACACTGACTAAAGAAACGTAAAGAAGTGTAAGGCTTTATTTACAATTTCACTAAAAGATCAAAAAATCAAGGGCTTTAAGTCGGTGGTAGATCTCCACTGAGAAGCTATAATGCCGGACCTGGAAAATTCACATGTAAGAGACTCTTGGGAGAAACATGTTGGCTGACGGCAAGAATACAGTAATCCCATCAAAGACAGATGGGGTTTTGCAATGCCAAAACCAAAACTTTAAACCAAAAGCTTAAAGACCTTGATAAATGATCCAAGTTGCACCTGAAGGAAGATAAAAAAAATCACGTATAACTTCAATGCACTGTCAGTAACAAGTAAAAATTCAAAACCAGATTCTGAGTTGTTTGACTGGAGCTATAAACACCTTATTGTAACTCAGCAGCACATAAACAAAGTACATCTGAGAAAAATTGTCAGCAAGAAAGAATAAAATAGAATTTTAGGCCCTAATCTGCCTGAAAGAATCCAGAACTTATCAGTGACCCAAGACTGCAAATTGCTCTAAAACAGCTGATCAAACTCTGGTATTCAAGGGACTAACAACTTCCCATATTTTCTGTCATGTTCATCAAATTATGCACTAATGCTGTTGCCTGTGGCATGCCACAAGAACCACAGAGGACTAACAGAGGCAGGCTGGGCTACACTTGATGTGTGCTGGCATCTGTCTGAAGCAAGGACAGATCGCTCTGATTGGGCTCACTGTTCAGTTACATCGTGGGTGCCGGCTATCAAATTCTGTTAGCAGTACAAGAAAAAAAAAAAATCACACACACTGCAAAAACATAACTGATATAAAAGCAGATGAGAAAAACAGTCTGAACATTCAGTATTATTGAATTATTATATATAGAACCATATCATTTTATTACATTTGTTACATTACTATTTCATAAGATAATACATTATGTACAATATAACATATGGTGTATATCATGTATATACACAATGCTGTATATATATACACAACGTTGTATATATATATACACAATGTATATACAATTATTATTATTACTCACAATTATTAGGAAAGGCAAAAAGGAAGACTGATTTACAGGAGAAGCAAAAAGCCATCAGACTCCACTATGAAACATGTACCATCCCCGTGTCTGCATCGATACTTAATGATTGTTTTTGACTTGGCTGAACAATTAACAGTGCTCTTTAAAGAAGTAGATAGCACTTATGTAGTCAGGGTGACTAAGGAACAATCATGCTGACACAAAAAGCTAGCAGTAGTATGCACGGCACTGCACTACACTGTGCAAACATACTCTTTGCCTCTATTTAGCTGGAAACTCAGATACAACCATCTAATTCCCATGTACCTCTGTCCTTAGAGACCTTGCTTCTCTTAGGAGCCTGCCTCACCTAATTTCTTCTTTAGTTAGATAACTCCAATATCACAGTGCACTAGCGCTCTCTTCCACTGTTTCCTAACCCTAAAGGTGCTTTAGTAAGTGACATTAAATATACTCAGCTACACACTCTCTCTCTTCCGGAGAATCCCATCAGCATTTCTATCTCTCCACAAGCCCACTGCCTAACTCACTCCAAGGACCCACCAAGGCCAACAAACTACAGCTTGAGTAAGCTGAATTAGCTAAGGACTTCATTCCCTGTTCCTCAGGGAGGGATCAAGAAACCAAGCTCAAGCAGTCAAGCTTGTAGTCTGGATAGAAATACCCTCTACTCCTCCTGC